ATTGTCGACCATGGTTTGCTTTGAATCAAGCCCAGGTCGATCGTTCCGGTCACCGGATACTGCAGGAACCGGCAGGAAAGACGCGGAAAGATCGCCGGTTCCTGCAGGAAAACACCGGAAATCAACGGAACATGGAAGCAGTATTCCGGCCGGAAATTTTTCGCACTTTTTCCGGCGGGTTCCTGCCGGAAAGAACAGGAATTGGCTGGAATCCACCGGAAAAAAATCCGAAAAATTTCCGACCGGAATACTGCTTCCAAGTTCCGTTGCTTTCCGGTGTTTTCCTGCCGGAACCGGCCGGTACTTTTCGACCTGGGAGCTGGACATTTTTATGAAGAGATACTGGAAGAAAACGTGATAAACATCTTTGTCGAACTGATCATTATTGATATAATTCTTCTTTGAAATAAAGATAACAATTCGACAAGTTTCGTTATATTCATTTACTTTCCCGTATCTTATTATTTAAATTCTTCGTGCTATTTTTTATTTTGGTCAAGTTTTTTTTCTACAACTTTCTGAAACGACAAAATTATTTTATTAGAATAGTCCTTGTGCAGTATTCGATTTTTCTGTAAGTCGCAATTTATATGGTTTACTAACATACATTTTAGATAGTTTTGAATCAATACAAATTTAATGAATAGCATTTTTAATTGGTTCTTTCGTTAACATTTTGTGTTGATTGTATTCGCAGGATATTTGTCCAACATTCATTTTTATTTATTATTTAATGGAGTATTGTTTATAATTTGATTATGCTCTTATTCTATGACGAGCATTCTTTCGTTCTACTCAATTGATTAATATAATAATAAAGTTGATAAGAGACAGAGGACTAGGGAATTGGGTTTTGGCAAAAACTGTTTCAGTTCACGAAAGACTTTTGTTTATCATTATGGCTATGATGAACGAAGAAGAACAATCCTTCTTTCCATGTTCTTCGTAATTGAAACTTGTCAGGTGAATTTCACTGATAGATAAGAATGATTGTCGAAAATCGAAAATACAAGAAAAATTGAGAACTCTTGTGTTTTGGATTGCAACAACACGATATTTCTACTCGTTATGTTTAGACTCAATGGATTCTTCTTTTTAAAAGAGGAATCATTTTTTTGTATAAAACTTCAATGAAGACAACAAAATTATTCTACATTTTATAGCAATAAAAAAGTTTTCAGGACAATCCTTATAGGATAAACATACTTGTAATGGAAACATCTGTGACACATTAAACTTTGGAAGTTTCACAAAATTTTTATATCTAAAACTTATCTCACAGTCTCTCATAGAGCTCAAATATTCAATATACACATGTTCTTTCTGTGGATTACAGAACATCTTAATCGATTTGTCGGACCAGTTTGTCTTTGTTTGCTTAAAATAGCTAAAAAAAAGAAAGTATGTTGCATCGTATTTTATTTTGTATGTAATTCTATATCGAAAAGGAAATCATAACGGGATAATGATCAGACAAAAACACAGTGTTTTCGTTATCCAAAATATTCGCCTCGATCAATTTTTCTGTTAACGTTTTCGTTGCTAAGATGTAGTCAAGTCTCATCTGTAAAGCATGCATCGGATCTACTTTCAATTTTGTGGGGACGCTCGATCTAAATTTATCAGACTTGCTGAGAGTATCAATGTATCCTTGTTGAATGAAATGGTTCAGAGTTGTGTAGTCGATTGAGTTTGAATCGGAAGTCAAAAATTTGGCTTTCAGCTTGTTAGTACCACTGAACTTCGTCGCTGGTTCGTAGTAGGCAGCATCACATTCTGATAATGAGTTCAAATCTCCTGCGATGATCCAATCTTGCAGATCTTGTTTTTTGATTTGATCCGTGATCATTTTTGCTTCGATTGTTCGAGCTGTCGCTGCAAATGGATTTAAATGAGTTGCCACTAGGCCAATCTTCCTTTCATCATCCAAATTCACTTGGACTAGGAGAGCACCATGATGCATGCCATGCTTTACTTGAGCAAGTTCAATCAGTGGAAATAATGATGAAATTCCAAGATGATAACCAGTAGAGGCAGTAAGAAAAGCGGTATGTTGATGGTTCCATTGATTGGCAAATTCTGAAAACCGTAAACTGTCAAAACCATTCAATTCAGTGAGAACGATCAATGTTGCATTTAAACTTCGCAGAAAAGCGGCAATAGCATTAAGCCGATTGGAAGGATGTTCATTGTCGGTAGGGTTAGAAGTATTGACTCCACCCTCGAAAATATTATAAGCGACGATTTTGAAATGATTTGTCATGATGAAATTCTAAATAGAGATTCGCAATTGAGAATTCTTATAAGCAATGTTTTAAATGAAAATCTACAATGAAATGTACAATCCACGCTGTTTTAAATGAGCAAAGTGTACAATTACACTTGTTTTCATAAGCAAAACGTAGTGTTGAAATTTTATATAATACAAAGAAATGTTAAAAAAATGTTCATATTTGATTTACCAAGTAAGAAGAAAGACCAATAATAAGCAAATAAAGAACAAGTAAATAAGCAATTAGTATCTGATTCATTTATAAAGATTCACCACACAAAAATACAATGTTAAAACAGCACGTAAACGCGAGAGAACCTCTATTTACTATTCTCGAAAATCTGAAATAATCATAAATGATCGATCATGATCGTCTTCATCATTAGGACCATCAGCATGATTTAAACAAAACTGAATCAAATATTGTAATTTTCAATTTTTTCCATAGCTATCACATAAGTACCAGGATCAAACGGACATAAATCTGAAAAGGAAAAAAAAATAACAAAGTCAAAAAAAGGATGCCATTCAAAGAATACTAGAAAAAATAAAAGAGTACATCACAATCTATTCATGGCTTGAACATAGTTTTTGAGCTAAAAATAGATTTAAAATCTCTTCTCCAAAGGGTACATTGTACACTTTGCCTTCATTGTGTACACTTGCCATTAGAAACACTGCCGAGTAATGTTGTTTGAAGCAAAATAATAAGCCAATCTCAACAGAGATGTTCGGTAAAGAGCATTCGACCTATTTGAAACAAAGCTTTTCTATATGCACTGGTTGTCACGGCAAAATAAGTACCCCTGGTCAAATGAAAATTATCTCATACTGATTATTGAGATTTAGACTCTATCAAAAATGATCCCGTTATCTTGTAATGATATAATGATTGTCAGATGAACATGAATAAATTGCGGTGAAGGTAACTGCAGATATTGTTACAGGCGAGAGAATCGTCAAAAGGATATTTCATTATCGTAGCTTTACAATGATCGGTGGAACTTATATCTTCGGAGAGTGTGGGTATCGGTGTCAATGTCGCGTAAGAACAAATGAACGGGAAACACACACCCACGATGGATGAAAACAAAGACAATCTTATCTTTTTCCATAGAAAAGGTGTGGGTATGGGTGTTATTGGATGTGGAGAGAGAATTAGTATCCACATCCACTCCCACATCTCATCACACTCGATGAAAATGATAAAACACTTTTTGGATTATTGCATAGGACTAAATCCTATGCTTACTTTGTCTTATAGTGGCTTTTATGGGTCATATTTCGGCCTTAGGAGTGAACTTTATTGATGTTAGTAATGACTCAGGTTTCACAAGAAGAGGATGGGCAGAAGACGCTCCAAAATGGAGACAAGCATCTAATAGCTTGTGTTTGGAAGGAATATGTAAAAATGAAATATGCGTAGCTAACACAGCCTTTTCTTTTACAGTTTCTTAAACTACTAAAGCAATTATTTTTATGCCACATTATGTATTTTTAGTAATTGAGCATACGGTTCAAACTTTTTAAAAAGTGAATCAGTTCGATTCGGTTCCAAAAACAACATGAACCGATTCTAACTCTGTGTAAAACTTTATTTCAAATAACATTCAATTGGTAAATGCGACGAATCGTTTATCGGTTGATATTTATGGGGTACTCCTGGAATGTTTCCATAGAGACAACACATTCGGTTCGTTAATTATCCTTCGATTCACTCACTGCAAAACTGAGTCCACTACATAAAAAGTATGATACAAAAGTCATTTGATAACGACTACCGCGGTTTTTTTTTCAAAAAAAAAATATTCTAAAGTAAATTTTTGATTTTAGAAAGAATGAACGTATAGTCGACGAGTTGAAATCATTTGAAGCAAATCGATTTTATAAGAAGTAGATCAGAAGATTTGAATATTGTATTTCAGAAAGCATATTAGGTATCGCAATCTTCTTTAGTTTTGTTGTCTGTGCTTACGTTAATGAATATCATCAACTCCTTCAAGACGATTCGACAGAGTTGAAAATGATTATTGAGCGGATGCAGCACTATTTCTGAGGGAGTCCAGTTCGATACTTAAAACTCTTAGAGATAAATACAAAAAAATAAAGACTCTTTGATTTTAATGGATCCATTCAATTCAAATATAACACTTTGACTTGTCGAAACTTCTCAATAAAATTGACAAGTATCACTTTTAACTGTAATGGATGTGCGCGTTCCACAATTTTAGCAATGAAGATTTCATACTCTTAGGGTGTGGTTGAAATGAAAATCATCACATCCACATCCTTACACACAAGTACATTCTACAAACGAATGAAAAGATTATGAGTATGTAGAACTTTGATGCGTCAGAAAATACAGTAAACATGTTGCATTTTTCATAGATGTTGGATGATGTTAATATAAATAAAAAACTTTGATACAAGACATGTATGAATTGAGTCCTTTTTTGAGACTAATGTAACTTGAAATCAAGAAAACCTGTACCCTCCATCAATGATAACACACTGCCCAGTCATATAATCAGAGTCTTTGCTAGCCAAATATGACACAAGACTTGCGACATCTTCAGGCTCACCTGCACGGCCAAGAGCTATCATGTTGTTTACGTAATATTCAGTGACCTTGCCCTTTGGTTTTCCTTTGATTTTTGTCAATTCGCCATCAATCTTATCTCACAATGCAGTTTGAACAAGTCCTGTTTTGTTCGTTAGATTCGTATTTTTAATAAAAGGAATGAAACATACCTGGATAGTAAGCATTGACTGTAATCTTGTGTTTAGCCCATTCCATGGCAGCAGCTTGTGTAAGGCCACGTACATCCCATTTAGTCGCAGAATAATGTCCTATCATTGGAGCTGATGTGTATCCGGCGACACTGCAGGCACCAATGATTTTGCCTCCCGTGCCTTGCGCAATCATGATTTTAGCAGCCTCTTTATAGCAAAGAAACACACCTCGCATATTAGTTGCAAACATCTTGTCCCAATCTTCTGTAGTAATATCAAGAATTGGTTTCACTTGGACAATTCCTGCATTAGCGACTACGACCTATACTATTAGCTTGAAAAAAAATGAAAGAGTCGAGAAAAAAGAACTGCTTATGTTTAAACTCCCTAGTTCTTTTGCAGCTTTTTGCATCATTGTTTCGACCGCTTTATCGATGGAAACATCAGCAATAAGAGCGACAGATTTTCGACCCATTTTTTCGATTTCTTGTTGAACCTTGCTGAGATCTGAAGAGCTTGCTTCAATATCATTGACAGCAACATTGAGACCATCTCTAGCAAAGCGAAGAGCAATGGCACGTCCAATTCCTCGAGCAGCACCAGTGATGAGAGCGTTAGGAGACATGTTGAATAGTAAAACTTGAGAAAGAGAGAAAAAACATAAGAAAGATTACATGGTTCTCTCACAGTATAACAATGTGAAACTCTTCACATACCAAGCAACGTGGTCTTTAATAGTCGAAAGCAACATTTTTTTTCTAGCAAGTAGCTAACACTCTCGAATTTTTTGACATGCATTCTAAGAAGAAGAGCGTAACGGTTAGTAGGAAGCAAAATCTGCTTAAGTATAGTGTTAAATGAACCAATACTATACTGCCAGCTCTTTTATGATAAATCAACGTATACTGAAGATTCAATGGTCAAAAGATAGGTCATTTTGTTCCCTACAAATTGTTATTTTTGTTTATCTTTTTTTTATCTTATGATTTGTTAGGTTAAACAATAGTAGAGGTGAATTTTTTGTAATCAAATAAGCCTTCTTTTTGTTACAATGTAAAAGACTGTTTTCGTCACTTTAATAGGGTTAACTTTTCCAAAAATGTCGCTATTCCTGAAACCTCATAACTATCAAAATTTCTGAAATTCCACACCTTCTTAAAGGGATTGCTTTACATTGCTTTACAAATTTTGTACTTATGCAAATTACACAACATTCGATATTTTCTTCTTATTTTGAAAACTTGCATATTTTCCTTTCATTTTACTTCAAAAGTTACCAGACGATTTAGTGCGTTTTTTAACTAGATCTGACTAGTTCTCAGTGCAAATTTCTAGGGAGTCAAAGGCAAAATTACAAATAAATACTAATTTGCAATACTCTTCGTTGTTACTGTGCATATGGCGAAAGAAATGGTGTTGAACTGATCCTTTTTTTAATTGTGATAATATTCGTTTCAATATACTCTCTATTTTTGACAATCATTATCGATAATCTGTTAATCATTAGTTTATATATTTATGGGCATACACAAGTAGTAGGACAACGAACTATGCAATGTAGGTATTGTGCATATGTATGAGCGACTATGGGTATCGAAATTATGCAGTATTCCGGTTATTGAGGTATTTGAGTAGGTGAAGCAATATTACTGATTTAATTTTCTTCGTTGGATATTTCGATCATTTTATTCGGTTATTTTCAGTAAATTCACAATCAAACAATAATAAAATGACCTGTATTTACATACCCTATTAATGCATACGCAATCACTTTTATAGAAAGAAAAAAGAAAGATAAGCAAACGTGATACAATCGTAGAAGAAGGACACCTTCTAGTATGCAAAAGAACAGAAAAGAAAATCTATTGACGCATACATATAACCACTATCTTATAAACAAAGTATCAAAGATAGATGTCATATGAGGACAGCTCATACTGATGTTGACACCATCTTGTAAAAAGAGAGTGATTTCATCAAAGCTATTTGAATTTTTTTAATTAAGAGGATGTGGATGGGTATGGCGGATGGATGTGCGTGTAGGTATTCTATTGCCTATTCACACTCACGTACCCACAGCCTTGTTTAATTTAAAGTTTCCATAGTATCCAAGAGTCAATGAAGCGATCAAGGATTGCTTTTGGAAAATGTTATAAAAGGAAATTAAATACCTTAAGCGATAACTTTAGAAACAATAGTTTAACGCAAAATTCAACATGAGATTCTATCATGAACTTATCTAATAAGGTTTTAACACAAAAGGAAAAAAAATGCTTTAATTAATGGTCTTGATTTTGTTTTACCTATGATACGTTTTGATGATGAATCATTTATTGCAAATATAGAAGCCCTTTTTACATCAATGTTAGACTATACAATTGATAAGGATGATTGCGAAGAAAAGAAGGTCGACGATGAAGCTGTACGTAATTTAACTCCTCACCAATTAGCATGAGCCAAGAAATTAAGATGTTTGTCTGAAAGGTTTTACCGGCATGTAGATTCCGAAGTGAAAATAAACAAATGAAAAGAACTAATCGAATTACATAGGGTTTTAAAGAATCTTGCTAAAGATAAAACAATTTATATCACCAAACTAGATAAAGACAAAGGTGTGGTCTTGTTAGAGCATGATGATCACAATAACAAAATGCAAATAATTTTAAATAATACGACAATCTTTAAATGCATTAAAGATGATCCAACGTTAAAAAAGAAAGAACAACTAATAAGAGTGCTCAAAAAAATGAGAACCAGGGGGTTTATTACCGCACAAGAAGTTCTTAAGTTTAAACCAAAAGGCTCCAGACCTGCAAGGATATATGGACTTCCCAAAATCCTTAAAACCGATTTTCCTTGAAGACCGATCGTGTCAGGTGTTGAAAACTTTAATTATGGTATTGGACAATTACTTACAGAAAGATTATCTCATTTAAGAACTAATAACAACACATTAAAAGACATATTTAGTTTTCTCATTTGATGTTACGAGACTTTTTACGAAGGTCCCACTGAAATAGATCATCCAAATCATTCTCGATACGTAATACGAAGAGGAGCACGAGCGCATTACTAAGAAACCCAGAATTAAAAGAGCAAATTGGTGTAACAACGGTTTGGATCGCCATGATATGAAGACCCTTTTAGATATGGCAACTCAGAATACCCATTTTCTGTTTGATGGTAAAATGTGTCAGCAATTCAATGGTGTTTCCATGGGTTCCCCCTAGCACCAATCATAGCTGACATATTTATGATACATTTCGAGGAACAACTACTTCCCGAGCGGACAAATACGGATGTTATGGCCTATAAGCGATACGTTGATGACACCTTCCTTTTGATTGATGATGATGCTAATATAGAACAAATTAAATTGATATTAAATAGTTTTCATAAAGAAATTCAATTTATATTAACCTCAGAACAAGATAAACAACTATTCTTTTTTTATGTGCTTATATTAAGCGGTGATCACTCATTTAGTACCACTGTCTATAGAAAGAAAAGTTTCACCGGATTACTAATCCAGTGGAATTCCTATGTTACTCGAGGCTACAAGGTATCAGCCATCAGCAATAAGATTTATCGAGCGGTTAAAATCGGCTCAACTTACAAAGTAATTATTACATGAAGAAATTGAATTTATTAGAGAAACAGCCCTGAAGAACGGATATTCTATAGAATTCATTGAAGAACAAATAAGAAACACCTTAAATAGAACTTTTTTTTAAGGACCAAGAACCTCCAATAATAACAACCAAAACTAATAAATCCAAATCTGATGAAAAAACTGAATTTGCTATGATAAAAGTACCTTATGTATATACTTCTATCAAACAGTTCATTCGACGCCTACGACAAATCATAAGAAAGAAAAAACCCAACACTCAATTATTAGCAGTGCCTTAACCACCTCCTACCGTAGCGCATTACTTCAATAAAACAGATCGTATACCTAAAAACATGCAATCTGAAATCATGTACCATCTCACAAGTAATGATTGTTCGTCTAATTATATCAGACAAACCACAAGACAGACAATCAGAAGGATGATAGAACATGGCTATCTAGGATTAGAGGTTAACAATAAATCTAGTGATGAATTAACAACCTACACGAGTTCAACTAATTCCACACAATGTAGGAGCTCGGATCGGTTGAAGGAAAAATTATACTACTCAAGATAAACTTGCTGAACAATTGAATGTGATTCAACATGATGGAGAGGGCGGACTGTTTGTACGAATTTCGTATCAATGGTCTGATTCAAAATCAGCTTTAGCTACACATGAGGGGTCTGGATCTGGGTCTGGGGTGTGGGCGGGTGTCGATGAGGGTGTATGGGTGTGGGTGTGGGTGTGTGTGGCTGTGGCTGTGGTGGTGTGGGTTTGGGTGTGGGTGTGGGTGTGGGCGTGGGTCTTCTTTGCATCGATACTCACACCCACACCCAATCTTTCATTTGATTGGATAATCCAGACAAAGATCATTGTTCTGCTCATTATTTTAATCCGTTCGGAAATCATACTCGAAAGTTAAATTTCATTCATATCAGATGTTTATGCTAGTTTTAATTATATATATATAGATTCTTTCTGTGGCACATAATCAAGTTTTTAGTCAAGGGTTAATGGTTATAATGCATTCATATACTAGAGCTCGTCATAATCATATTTCGTTCAATCAACATAAAAAAATATTCAGCTTCATTTTAAACAGTTGGAACAAAATAGCTAAGGCAATGCGAAATCATAAAGTAAAGAAAACTGATTTGAGTCAAGTGTTTAGTTCTCTTTTAGACTAAACTAGTATTGTTTGATAAGACAGGACCGAAGTATCAATATGGATTTTTAATCCAGGCAATCTTGTAAGTTGGAATGTATTATATTTCTTTCTAACCTTTTTCTCTTGATTTTCAACATTAGTAGCGGGGAAAATTTAGCCTCTTGCTGATTTCACGCGATAAAGAAAATACAAGTAAATTGTATTAAAGATTGTTGATCGAATATTCACAGAAGGAAAAAAACTTCTTTATATGGATCCACCTTGCATTGACACAGATAATCAGGTTGGAATCATTAGAGGTAAACCATTTCAACTGCACTACGCAACTATTTTTGTTTTTACTATAGATTCTGTTCAATTTGGATTTCATTTAACAGCGGATTTGCTGGTAACAATTTGGATACTGGTGCTCAAATATATCAAGTCTTAACAGAGAAAATTCAGGTAAAATTTTGAAAAATGTCACTGAATCAGATTTTTTTTCCCTCAGTAGGTTCTAAAATACGCTACTACATTTTTCTCTTCTAGATAATAATAATTTTGACAATGATTTTGAAAACACTGAACACTATCGATGTCATCATTACATGAAAATTTTAGCATCTGAGTAATCAATAGACAGTTTTAATAAATATGAAAATTAGAAAAAAATATATTGAAATTGGATTTTTTTTACTATTGAAGCTATTTTGATAATTATAATTAACTTTTGATTATGGCATTCGGCATTGTGTGTCATACGCATATATAGATTTGATTCATATTATACTTCTTTCACTTGAATCTAGTATGTCTGAACCAGTTTCTATAGTTTTCCTAACATCGAAATGCTATCTTTC